CTTGAATTAATCAAGTGGAAAAGACAATTCTCTATGATCATTACTATTTTACAAATGTTTGATAATCAAATTGTGTTAGTTCAAACAATGTTTACAGGTTGAAGAGAACTACTCATTTTTATTTACATAAACAGTAAGTGATGATTTTTATTCCTCATTCAAAGAAGAAATCAGGGTAATATGCATTTCTTGATTTTTCTGTCTTCAATGAGCAAGTTTGTAAGTGTGTTAGAGTTCGAGTTTCGGTCAACTAAAAAGTTTACTGAAAAGAAATGTCATGTTTAACTTTCACAGCAGATACTAGGTGAATTGACTCCACGAAGTCTGAATTTCTCCAACAATCTTTCTGTCTGTTTTAAACAATCTTAATCTCTATCCTTGACTTTCCATAACACCTTACATCACAAACCACACCTCTGTTCTGGTCTATCCACCAATCAAAAAGCTCTCAAATGACCCGTAAGTCGAACCCATTTAAATGTGGCAACTTCCCGGTTCTCTCGGGGTTGTGTGTCGAAGAGAGACGAGACGAGATGAGAAGAGCTTAAAAGAGTAGAGCTCTGAAGGAGTTCAGAGTTCTTGAATCCAGAATGCAGAGACGATTTTGGGAATTATAACTTCTGTTTGGATAACCTCGCACGACTCTCTAGGTATTTGGCTGTTCTCAACGGAGACGCTGAAAGAGTCAAAAGAAGAGCTCTACACCGACGCTGAAACTATCATCAACCAGGTAAAAGTTCTATTTCGACCAAGCGTACCGTTGGCCAAGCTGAGTTCCGAAGGAGCGTGCACGTTCTGGTTAAAACAAACAAATTCCCTCACACATCTCTCTGTAAGATAAATCTCCATTTTCCATCTTTAAACTCTCCTTTCTCCTAAAATCATTACAGATATTTTTAGAAATGTCTGAAGCAAAGTTTCTCAATCACCGCCGTGTGAATTGATGTCTGCCGTTTTAGCTGAAAAGTGAAAACAATCGCCGTATTGTTCTCACTTCCTGTAAAACTATGCTGTTGTTATTTTCATATTTTGCCAAATTAATGTAAATGTTTGATGTTAAACTTTGATTCTGTAAATAAATGACCGCATTCATTTTGATGGGTCAAAGATAAATAACGTCTCTCGTTACATTTCTGTTAAATTCAATGCACGACATTTACACAGTCAGAAAAATGAAGAACCCGTTAAATGTATGAATATATCCCAGCATATGCATACTACAGACATTGTAAAAGTTCATTTATAAATTCCTTGTGTGGATGTGTAACCAGTGACTGTTTGACCACCACCTGTGCAGAGGGCGTTGTAAGAGCCACATTGCTTTGTAGCATTTGTGTGAGTTTCAGCACAACATTCACCTAGCTGTTAAAATGATTTAGAGCCTGTATGCTATCAGCTTCCAGAATAGCTGTTTCCTGTGCTCCTTTACTTTTGTAACTAAAGAAACAAAAAGCAAACACGGCACAGCCTAGACTAATCTGCACATTTTTGGGTGTACCTGTCTTATCTAGTCTTCAGGTCCTTTCCACCCATTCTGCTGTTAAATTAATCTAGTCATTCATACTCTCCATACTTGTGGATTATAGTGTATATTATTATTACATTATAGTGTACCTCAAGGAACATGGTCGAACAACCTTCTCCAAGTCTACAAACACTTGTAGACTGGATGGGCAAACTCACACGACCTATCAAGGAACATTGTGAGAGTAGGTTCAGTGGTCCACAGCCAGGATGGAACCTGCATTGTTCCTCCTGAAACTGAGGTTTGACCAAACATTAGGCTCCAGTGCCCTAGGATAGACCTTACCAGGGAGTCTAAGGGGAGTGATGACACTATAACTGGAGCACACTCTACGGCCCCCCTTTTTTGAAGAGGGCTAAATCATGGGCCGTATAACAGGGCACGTCTCTTGTCACCATTTGCACAGCCGCAACATGGTCTGGACTGTCTTCTTTTAGGATTATTACCTGAATATGGCAGTTAGTGCTCCCTTGGAGAATGCATAATGAGAAGAATCTGCTGATAATGGTTTCCAGTAGAGATGTGAAGATAAATAAGTGTGTACCAATTCATAGCCATACACATGCATGATGCAACTGCATGAGTAGAGCTGCTTCGTACCAATCCAAATTTTGGATTAAATCTAGCTTAATCAGTTCATGAAGTCTGTACTAATAAAAGCTGGTTTTCATATTTTGAGAAGAGTTATTTAAAAACAGTTTCATTGCAGCCTTGTTGTAACTCAGGGGATGTCTTCCAAATTTGAAGGAAGTTAGCTGCACAATGCTATTTTTATTGTGAGCAAAATAGTCCTAAATTTGCACTTCTGCCAAATGATGCATTACAAATAAGTATGGTACTGGAAACTGAAAACAGAGCCAACTCAAATACGATTTACTGTACAGTGATTTATTTACAGTGAATTAGTGTGAATATTCTTATTTACAAGGGTCACCTGGAACACCTGAGGAGGGAGGAAACCAGGTGAGTCCAGGAACGTAGAGGGATGTTGTAGTTTCCTAGATGGGGGATCTCTTACTGGACAATGGTGGCTACAACGCGTGGAGAAGAAGATTCCAGGTTCCAGGCTGAGGTAGGCAATAGGGATGTGGTGGAACGTAACAGAGCAGCTGATGGTGAAAACGATTCTTTACAGGCACGAGGAACTTCACGAGGGATCCAGGACATGAGACTCCAGAAGGACATGTTGTTAGGAGCACGAGGAGAAAAGTAAGGTAAGTCACTGTTATACTTATTCACAATAAGTTTGACTGTAAGCAACTACCAGGAATTATGCAATGCTCCATCAAAGAAGGAGGCTCTCCTGCAGTCTGTTATACCCCTGGAGCTCATGGGCACCGCCCAGGAACCAGGATGCTGTGGAAAAAAATGAAAACCTACATTTTGATGTTTGATTATTTTTTTTTATAAAATCCAACACCACAGAGGGCAAGGCATACAAAGATGTGAAAAATAACGAATAATTTACTCCAGAATTAACTCCAGAACACTAATAATCTTGTAAAGAACATTTATGCATGCTCAGTTTGTGTTTGTTTTTAATTTTTTGTTTAACTGCTTTGTTTAACACAAGTTTTTGGGAGATATTTGTGGGGACTGCTTTCTTTTTAGGTAGAAAATTAGGGACATGTTAATCAGGTTAATGAGGTCAGCGGACCAGTTGCTCCTCACAGTTCCAGGAACTCGTCTTAAGTGCAGAGGTGACAGGGCCTTCTCTGTAGCAGGACCAAGACTCTGGAACGAGTTACCTCTGCTTGTCAGACAGGCCCCCTCCCTCTCGGTTTTCAAGTCCTGTTTAAAAACCCACTACTATTCAGTAGCATTCAACACCAGATGATCTGTGTTTTGATCCTGTACGCGCCACACTGGTTTGTCGTCATTATCTGCATCGTTTTTATGTCTATATTCTGATTTACTTCATTTTTTATTTTGCTTTGTGTGTTACTTGTTCTGTCTGTACAGCACTTTGGTTGGCCTTGTCACTGTTTTAAGTGCTCTATAAATAAAATGGTATGGTATGGTATGGTGTCACAAGTTGGACACTCATAAAGATTTGGCCTGCATGATTCCTCAAAACAAGGATAAAAGTTATTTCACTTCAAAGATGAATCAGAGGTGAAATCCCAGGGACGGAAATTAAAACAAATCCAGATTGCAAAGTTGAAGCAGTTTAAAGTACTTCATTTACCAGGCATGGAGTTCTGACGCATTGTGAAACATGTAGGATCCAAAGTAGATCTAATTTTGTTTGTATAGTCTCTAGTCTGTCTACACCTGCTGCACCGTCTCAATGAAACCAACATGGAAATGTGTCTGCTCCTTCTTGGTGACATTGGACCTCTGGTGGCCAGCAGACAGTGGGGTGCCTCTGACATAAAACATATTTATGTTCAGCTTTTGCCAAGTAGGTTCATCTGCCCCCCACTCTTTAAATAGACGTTGTTGCCAAAGACGTTACATAAGTTCTGCTTTGTTGAGTCAATGAATCCTGAGCACAGAAGGTAGGAAACAAGTTGAATCTGTTCCCGTGTGTTTGTGTTGGAGCAAGTATAAAATGCATTCTTGGCATGACGTGGATGCCACACCTCCTCCTTCACTATGAGTTGTAGTATACTTTCCTGGCAGGACATATTCACTTTAAGAAAAAGGTGTTTTATAAAGGAAACCAGAGCATGGTTTTCTGATTTGACTGTACTGCTGCGTTCTAAAACTGTAAACACGAGGTCAAACAAGGAGTTAAAAATCACAAGTTAGGAATTTATATAATTAGTTTCAATATGTCAAAATCAGTCAAACAGACAGAACTAAGAAGAATGACTTTCAGTAGGTTTGGTATTAGAACTTAAGTTATTTATATTTTTTATTATGTATTTAAATTATATTTGTTCTGTAAATTTGTTAAAACATGTTAAGTACTCAAATAGTACCTTTTTAAGATCAAGGTGTACTTTTCTTTCAGAAACTAAAAATTGGATGTAACTGATTAACATTCATGTCAAGCCATTAGAAGATGGCAGCCACACCCAACTTAACTGAGAAAATACAGAAACGGCTACAGAAACAGATAACATGCTAAAATTGGATGTGGTAATAGCTGAGTGTCATTCACAACAATCATGAGCTCATCTCGTGGTATAGCATCAGCTTGTGAATAAAGTTATTTTAAAGATTTGACCAAATTAGCTACAACTTTGTCATTTCTCATCATGAGATGACTAGTCTAAAACTTTGGCATAAAGGCAGCTAATATGCAATCAAAAAGAAAATTAATTTTATTGTCATTTTTATGTGAATATGTAAATTCAAAATAAACACATATAGTATTATATAAAATATATGAAAACATTCAGATTTTTTTTTTAAGCAGGCTGAAGTGTAAGAATATGTAACCCACAACTTGTTTTACACATGTAATAGAGTTCTGAGAAAGTAAAAGACGTGTTACAGAAACAAGGTGACTGGAGCTCAAAGCTGAGGAAATATGAAGTAATAAAGGAGACGAGACATGACTCAACAAGCAACAGTTTGTACTTAATGTTATTTATGACAGGTGTTAGCAGTTTTAAACACAAGTATTGCTTTCCAGATGAGGTTTTCAGTTCACATTAAATTAACTTCATTCAACGTGACAATTTAAAACCTGACTGTCCATGAAACGCAAATAGAATTTAAAATGATTATTTACATATGATACAAAAATATATTTCATAACAAAAGTGATACATTTACAACATGAAACACGAACAAAAAAAGTTTTAAAAAGCCTTTTTAAATTATCGTCCTGCAGAAGTTTGGACGAGGGAGTAGGGATCAGTTCGCGTGGTGGGAGGTTTTGCGTATTTGATGAGTCTTTCAGTGACTGACATGTGGCTCACATCTTATCTCCTAAAACATTTCAGGCCATGTGTTCATGGCTGAAGAGATGTTTCTAACTTTTCGTCCAGTTGTTAAAGTTTGGTGGTTGTGTGGTCTGAGGCGGAGTTCATCTGATGCTGTGGTGGTGGACCTCAGCAGCTGCTGCATCATCCAGCTGCACTCTGTTAGGTGGCCTTTTAACTGCTCTATGGGGGTCCAAACATACAGGCCCTCCTTCCATTATGGCTACAATCCAAGAAGACTGAAAGCCCTGGTGTCACATGCCTAAAAACAGATGGAGTCAGAAGGAGAGACTTGATTAGAACACAACAAAAAACGTTTGGGTCTCTGGTTCTATTCCAGGGTGGTAGCTGTTTGGTCTGACAAGCTTGTCGATGGCAGTGGACCTAAAATTCATTCATTCGTTTATTTAGACAGGTTAATCCCATTGAGCCTCGGAGACTCATTCACAAGAGAGACCTAACAAAGAGTGATGACAACAGCAGACAACAAAAACAACAATAGACAATTATAAAGGAAGCATTCAAATTGAGAAGAACAAGTGAAAGAAAATGGCATTAAAAAATGAAACAAAAAAACAGCTAGGTTGTACAAAGTAAGGCGATGTAGAAAACTAAAAACAGGAACATGTCTGCACTGTTTTTTTCCATGAAATGAACAGATGTTTAAAGCCACTTAGAGAGGTCAAGGTCGAGAGCTTCAAATCTTTTTGTAAGATATTCCAGGAAACAGGAGCAGAGTAGGAGAAGGCCTTTTTGTCTAGTTCAGTCCTCACTGAGGGAACACTGCAGGTAATAATGTCCTGAGTGCGCACGCTGTAGCTGCACTCACACAGTGACATGTAAGAGATGTATGAAGGCAACAAACCAAGAAGTGATTTAAAGATGAAAATGTACCAGTGAGAGAGTCTGCATGAAGTTAATGATGATTTGTAGGAATCATCAAACTCAATAGGAGCACCATTTGAGGATAAAATCGGAGAAAGAACTGCTGGGACTGACTTCCTGTTTGAAAACAGCTTCCCTTTGGTTTTGTCGGCATTTAAAACAAGTTTGAGACAGAGAAAGTCTGACTGGATGATGTCAAAAGTGGATTGCAAACGCTGGAAAACCTTAGCAACTATTTTAGCTCAACAATAAACAACTGTATCATCAGCACTGAAATGTAAGGATGCATCAGAGATGGTCTGACCTACATTGCCTATGTAGATTGTAAAGAGGGTGGGTCCTGAGACAGAGCCATGTTGTACACCATTGCTGACAGGAGTACCATTATCGAAAAAAGTTCAATCTGGTCCTCTGGACATTCAAAAAATAAATAAACAAAAAACAAAACAAAGCAAAAAAATGTAGATACGTTTCGTCTCTCATCCAAAAGACTTCCTCAGTCTGAGGTGCTGTATTCAGCTCAGTCTCTTAAATAGCACATAACAGAGTAATATTGTGTATGCTGTTCAGTGTCAGCAGGGCTGTGATCAGTCTTACATCGGGGAAACTAAACAGCCACTGGCCAAAAGGATGGACCAGCACAGAAGATCAACATCATCAGGCCAGGACTCTGCGGTCTACACTCATCTCCAGGCCAGCGGTCACTCTTTCAGGGATGAAGATGTTCACATCCTGGACAGAGAGGAACGATGGTTTGAGAGAGGAGTAAAGGAGGCCATCTTTGTGAAAAGAAATCGTCCATCATTAAACAGGGGTGGAGGCCTCCGGGTTCAAATGTCCTCCTCTTATAATGCTGTTATTGCTAGTATCACTCAGCCCCCTGTGAATAGTAAACAGCCATCAGTGTGCTAATGATCCATTGTTAGGCTGATGGTCCTTCTTGACCATGTGAGCAGCTGGTTTTGGTTGTCAGCAGCAAAACTGGTTGATCCACTCTGAGAAGGTGCTATTTAAGAGACTGAGCTGAATACAGCTCCTCAGACTGAAGAAGTCTTTCAGATGAAAGACGAAAAGTTTCCATATTTTTTTGCGTTGTTTTTTTTTTTTTTTTAAATGTCCAGAGGACAGATTATTAATGCTGGAGTGTCTGCCAACGTGGGTACAAAATGACTTGAGGTGAGTCTGATGTGGATGGAGGTGGAAAATTGATCCTCAGAAGTACAACTTGCTGGTTACAAAAAAATCAGAATTCAGTGGGACTGAAACCAAAAGTTCACAATCTCACAATTTTGAGTCACTAACTTCCAACAGTCACAGCCCAATGGGTTACTAACAAAGAGATCTTGGGGACTAACGGGAGAGCTGGCTGACTGCCTGACTGGCTCAGGTCTACAGAGGAGACACTACGAGCCATGAAAGACAAGCATTTAAGGACCCAAGACAGAGCAGGGCAGTGTGTAAAGTGGGTCTGACTCCCACTTCTGTCTTTTTGTCTCTGACATTTACAGTTGGAATTTCTGCTCTGGTTTGCCCGGCACACATTCCTCAAAGTCAAGTATGCAAGTTTCAACACACAAGCTGTGAATAAGTTGGAAGTCCGACTCAAATTAGCCATGTATCATTTGCCAGTAACCATGACATTTTGTAACCCACCCAACAATTTCCCTCTAAAGATCCAGTTTTGTGTTTCAAGTTACAGTTTATAAATATACCACTTTACATCTCATGAAAAGCAGAAGAAGACAAGAACAAACCAAACTACAACATTTCTGAGGGGATTTAGGAGGGTACTCAATGCAGCCACTGCCCAAAAGTCCAGCGCATTCTATGAAGTAGTTTAAATTGCTTCTGGGTGGTCCAGTAAAGACTACAAAAACCTGTTCTGAAAAATAATAATAATAAAAAAATCAAAATAACAGTTTATTCATGTGAACTTGCTGTGACATTTTTAAACTTTGAATGATGTTTCTGTGAAATACACACCAGCTCTAAAGCTCCCAAGATGTACACTGCATGTTTTCACTGGTCCAGAGGACCAGATTTAACTTTTTTAGATTTTTCTACCTGGATTACTGAGCATGCATCAGGATGTTTTCACACTTGTTTTGTCAAAATCTCATTGCAGTGTATTTAGAGATATTTTGCAATTGTTTGCAAATTTTGTTTACACCATTCAATATACTGCTATTAAAGGTCACAGCGCACTAATTCTGACTGAACAGCGCATTTTGCATGTTTTTGTACGAGATTTCCAAACTGCAGGAGGAGCAGCAAACTGAAAATCTCAATGGAAACAAAACAATAACACCAGACAGTAATAACGGTGCTTCAATCCATTGAACTTTATGATCTGAACTTGTGCTGTCTCTCCTAACAGAGCACTTTGATCCCAGACTGCAGGTTTACTTGTGGTTCCTAGAGTTTACTAAAGCAGAATGGGAGGCAGATCTTTCAGTTATCAGGCTCCTCTCTTGTGGAACCAACTTCCAGTTTCTGTCCGTGAGGCTGACACATTGTCCAGTTTTAAGACTGGACTTAACTTTCCTTTATGATAAATCCTATAGTTAGGGTTGGCTTGGGTTTCCTGAGCTATCCCTTAGTTATGCTGCTATAGGTTTAGACTGCTGGAGTACAAAGTGACCACATTTCTTCACTCTGCTGCTGTCTTTACTTAATCTGCTCAACCTGTTTTGTATTTGTAATTAATTTTATCCTTGACATTTGTTTTTTGTCTTTCCTCCTATAGAAAGTACATCTGGACCTGCCATTCTGTGTTTGTTTGTTCCTCCTTCCTGTTCTCTCAAACCCAGCTGGTTGAAACAGATGGCCGCTCGTCCTGAGTCTGGTTTTGCTAAAGGTTTCTTCCTGTTAAAAGGGAGTTTTTCCTTTCCACTGTTGCCTTTGTGCTTGTTCAGGGTGAGAGACTAAGATGAAATGAAGATTCAATGAGTCTGCTGGCTTCCTTAGATAGAAAGCGTTACTAATTGGCTTTTGTATGTACAGGTACATGATTTTTTTTTGTGTGTGTGTATGTTTCTGATTTGGAGCTTTATAAATAAACTGAATTGAATTGTCTTAAATTGATGGGAAAATGAGGATGAAAATGATGAGGAAACAGAAAGCCAGTCCACTCCACAGTCTCTAAATTTTCTAGTGCCAGTAGCAAAATTTCTCAGACAGCATGGTGACAGCTGAAAATAAATATCCAGCATTTTCCCAGTGCATTTCTCCTCCATGCCCTCATAACATGTTTCAGCCAATTTATATTCCTGACATGTAATTGTTTCTTGGAAAGCACAGGGATGCAGCTCCTGTGCCACTTCAGGAGTGGTCGTTAGCATAGCTGACACAGGCGACAACCATCAGGGCTAACCCTGAGGAGCAGGTGGTGCCAGCTCACTAGCTAATTGATCAAGAAGTTCTGACAGCCATAACACTTACTCTCTAATGTTCGGTCAAGGTCAGCAATGAAGTCTTCTAGTTCTTTGGTGTCACCCAGTTTGGCTGCAGAGAAGACAGAGAGAAAAAAAATGTTATTTAAGGTTCATATAATAAACAGCATAGGTCAAAGAGCAAACATTTAAAGGGCAGATGATTTACCTTTTTTCTCTTTTATGATTTGTGAATTTGATATCTGTTTTTCTAATTTGTATGAATCTATAAATGCATGAACGAAATGTTTCTAAATAGTATAAAGTTAAGTTTATTTTGGTTTTGGTATTAGAAGTGCCAAAAATAATTATTAAAAACATCAAACGGGTAACGTGTGACTAATTTAGCCACAAAGAGCAACTGTGGAAATAAACATACAAATTAAATAGATAAAAAAAATTAAAAAAAAATCTTACATTTATTTGATTTTTTGTTCAGTTTATCCCCGCCCCTCGCACAGTGATTGCTGGACATGGGCACCAGCGACCCCCGTGACCCAAAATGGAATAAACGGGTAAAGAAAATGGATGGATGGATGGATGGATGGATGGATGGATGGATGGATGGATGGATGTTCAGTTTATATATTTTGGAAATTTCAGTTTTAGATTTTGTCTATTCATAGTCGTGTTTGGAGGCAACGAGTCCAGGAAAGAAAGCCAGACATCCCTTTCCACAGCGACACTCTCCAACTCGGGGACCCCAAGACATTCTCAGCCAAAAAAGATTAAAGAGCTTTTTAAGATGATTTAATTACATTTTTAATAACTCTTATTTTTCCATTGCTGTAGCCAGTTACTTTTACTATAGTTTTTTTTATTTTTTACTTTTATTTATACAGCTAGTCTCATTGAGTCATGAGGACTCATTTTCAAGAGAGATCTGTTTGGGAGCAGATGATGGGGGTTGAGGGTGGAGGCAGGTGTGGGTGCTTCATCTTTTCCACCCACATTTTGATGTTGTCGGTCAGGGAAGTTGAACAGGCGACCTTCCCATCACAGGCCCCCCTACTCAAACCTCTGCACCACCGCTCCATCTGACGGATGCCATCATTTGGTCTCGTAACAAAAACTTGCTGCTTCAAACTGTTGCTGTGTTTTCAGTTCACCTTCAGTCCACGTTAGGTTCATTTTCCTGCGTTGGCTTTGAAAACTTTTTTTAATTTTTTTTAACACTGAACAATTTGATTCAACGAGGAATAAAAATGTGTAACTGAAAATCTAATTACATTTTCTTTTGGTTTTCTATTTGTTTACAATTCGTGTATTTTTGTTTATCGTTCATGTGTTTTAATTAAAGCTTTACTTCTTTTACAGGTATGTTTTTATCACTTCTGTACTTCTGTAGTTTGGTGAAAATAATAATAGCAAGAGGTTTAAAGGGACTCACGCTTGGGTGACATCAGAGGTGGAGAGGTGGTGGCAGGGGAGAGCATGGGGGGTGAATCTAGCCTCTCATCACTGAAGCTGAAGCTGTTTCTGTTCTGAGATTCAGCACCTGTAAGACACAGGACAAAACACACAAGTGACTCTTCTCTTGCTGCTACACTGAACAGTGCCAGCTGCTGTACAACCACTGCATTCTCTACTAATGACAGCTTTGTCTGTGGCCCGTCAGACACACGCTGCGTGTACACGTAGCAGTTACGTGCACGCACGTGTGATACTTTTTTTAGACAACATGAACTGTAACTGCTGACGTTTTCTACAGGTTTTAAAAAGTTGATGTAATAAAGCAACAATGAAATGTTGTACAATAATTGCGCTTATTTCACTTATTTATAGTGTGGATGCTGAGTCAGCATTCAAACTTTTTTTTTTTAACTTGTTTATGGTTTCTTATCAAACTACTGCTCATAACTTTGTGCTATTTTACCAGTTATATATATCACAGGGCTATTTAACTAAACTGCTCAGGGGGTCCACAGTTACTGAAAGCCAAGAGCTCAGGGGCCGGACATCCAGCAGTTAGTGTCATTAAGTAAAAGTAAGTTTGTTTTATGGTTTAAAATCTAGTTTTATTTAAAAATAAACCCATTGGTGGACCAAACTGAGCTCACCCGTGGGCCTGATGTGGCCCCTGGGCCACCAGTTGAATAGCCCTGATATATCAGACTGGGAACTGTGGCTGTGGCTTGTAGTTCTAACTTTTCTACTCTTGAATTATTTTTCTTTATTTGAAAATATGTTCTGTATAGAAACACTGAAAGCTCATTAACTATTTTTAAAACAATGTTCTATTTGAAACTTACTTCAGCATCCTTGCCTTCGTTTTCTATTGGTATGCTACATTTAGCTTTTAGCTTTTGTTTTGGTAAATTTAGCTCTTAGCTACAGTTTAGCTAATTTTAGATTTTTTTTTACAGTTTTGTTAATTTTAGGTTTTAGTTATTGTTCAGCTAACTTCAGTTTTAGCTGTTTAGTTTTAGAAAACAGCTACCTCTCCAGAAGAAATCATCCAGGTGACCTGACTGAACATAGATGGATTTGATACTGAGATTATTGAGCATGAACTTTGGTGTTTTGTTTTAGCTTTTAGCTACTCTTTCTTAAGCTCTTTGTTAGCTACAGTTTTGCTCATCTTAGCTTTTAGTTACATTTTGCTAATTTTATCTTTTAGCTACTGTATTGCACATATTCAGAAATACAGTATTGCTCAAATTTTCCTTTTGTTTTGCTCATTTAAGCTTTTATCTATGGTTTTTCATTGTATTCTCTGTGTCTTGTTGTTCTCGTTCCTCATCAGCCCTGAAGACTTCTTGACAATGCTGTTTATGTGATGATGAAGAGCGTGACAGAACTAAAAGCTCGTGCTCAAAGTTCTGCTTGGCTTTGCTCTGCAGAACACCGGAGGAGCTTAACAGTGTCTCACATGTCAAGCACCTACTCTCTGACCTGCATCAGAGTACAGTGTGGAGTGAACACACACACACACACACACACACACACACACACAGGGCTTTAGCATTAGTGTTTGACCTGCACTCTTCAGTTTCGTCTCATATTCATCTCAACCTCTCACTTCTCTTTTCTCAACAGCAGACACATGAACACTCCAGGAGACCATTTGTCGCCATTTATCTGGCCCTTCATCAGCACGCCCATCCATCAGGCTGTGAGACAATGGCTCGTCTTTGCACAGGACAGGTCTCCGTTCATTACAGCGTCATGGAGAGGACACGGCTTCCACAGGAATTTGATCCCTTGTGCAAAGCAACAAGCTCAATAACCTCAAAGACAGGTTCAGACAACTTCTCTTTGTTTTCTAATCACCGACTCAACTGGACTGTAAAGACAGAGCGAGAAAAATGGATGTCATTCAGAAAACATGTTTGTTCTTTAAAGTCTAGATATTTTACTCTTTCATTCACAGAGAGATTATTTATGAACATAAAGCTCCTCCACACCCTCCACTGGAGCCAGCTCTCTGGGGTTGTGTGTGTCTGTGTGCAGTGGGGTGGGGGTGAGAAGGTGCTCAACGAGACAAATAATTAAATTTTTTGTTTTCCTTTTAACAACAGCAATAAATGTAACTAACATATGAATAAAATCATAAGAACATTTCTTCCTTTTTCTTTCAGATTTCCTCTCTTCAGGGTCGCCACAGCGAGTCATCCTCCTCCATCTCATTCTGTCCTCCCTCCATCTACCTCCAATAAGTACATTTCATTACATAAAATAAATAGTTTTATAACTTAGATGATTTACTTGAAAAGAGTTCAGCTTTTTTCACTGCAGTTTAATCTTCGGGTCTGTTCAAAATACGTTTGTTGGTATAAAAACAACAGATTTTTAATGCAAGTGTTGATATATATA